ATCCAGTTAAAATGAGGTTTTAGAATGGGGCCCAATGCAGTATGACCGGTGTCCTTATAAGAAGGGGAAATCCCAACACAATGAGAGACAGGTGCACAGGGAAGAGCATGCGGCGAGGGAGATGACGGTTATCTAGAAGGCAAGTAGAAGGGCCTGAAACACATTCTCCCTCACAGCCCTCAGAACGAACCAACCCTGCCAACACCTTGATTTCAGACTTCTAAGCCTGTGAGACAAGAAATTTCTGTTGTTTAAGCTACCCAGTTTGTGGTACTTTGTTATGACAGCCTTGGAAAACTTTTTTTTTTTTAGACGGAGTTTTGCTTTTGTCGCCCAGGCTGGAGTGCAGTGGAGCAATCTCAGCTCACTGCAACCTCTGCCTCCCAGGTCCAAGCGATTCTCCTGCCTCAGCCTCCCAAGTAGCTGGGATTACAGGCGTCTGCCACCACGCCCTGTTAATTTTTTTTTTGTATTTTTAGTAGAGACGGGGTTTCATCATGTTGGACAGGCTGGTCTGGAACTCCTGACCTCAGGTGATTCACCTGCCTTGGCCTTCCAAAGTGCTGGGATTACAGGCGTGAGCGACCGTGCCCGGCCCCTGGCAAACTATTAATAATAAACCTCTCCCTGGGTTATGATAACATCTCCCTCGTTTTCTCCCTTTAGGCCTAGAGATGGTAAAAACTCCAGCTGCTGCTAGTCCCTGGATGTCTGACTATCCCTTGTTTGTCTTCCTTAACACCTTTATTCCTTCATTACATTCTTTTTAATTAGCCTTTAAATGTGCCATTTGTTTCCTGATACCCAGGCCTATAACATAATTATAGATTTTCTCAATACAATTCACAAAACCACGTATCCAAAAGGCGAGAGAAAGTTTTGTTGGGGTTCTCCAATTATGCAGACAGCTATTGGAAATCTTAACTCATTCAGAATAAATCATCTCAGCCGGGCGCGGTGGCTCAAGCCTGTAATCCCAGCATTTTGGGAGGCCGAGACGGGCGGATCACGAGGTCAGGAGATCGAGACCATCCTGGCTAACACGGTGAAACCCCGTCTCTACTAAAAAATACAAAAAACTAGCCGGGCGCGGTGGCGGGCGCCTGTAGTCCCAACTACTCGGGAGGCTGAGGCAGGAGAATGGCGTGAACCCGGGAGGCGGAGCTTGCAGTGAGCTGAGATCCGGCCACTGCACTCCAGCCTGGGCAGCAGAGCAAGACTCCATCTCAAAAAAAAAAAAAAAGAATAAATCATCTCATGTATTTTCACTTTCTCCTGTTGTCCATTTTATCTCACAGGACATCGGGAACGTCATAACGGGATGTGCTGCTTTGGATTTAAGTCATATTAAAACTTTAGAGAAAGCATAATAATTTGTGATAATCAAGGCAGAGAATGTTGGGTATGAAGAAACATGTGAACTCAACTTTAGACGTTCAGACTTCAAAAATGTCAAAGAAGCATTAGAGAAGATTCCAGGGCAGTCTTAACAAGTAAGTTAGCTCAAAAGGGATAGGATCTTTTCAGAAATTAAATTCTGAGACAACCCATGAGCAGCCAAACATATGATGGGTTATGGTTTCTGAATACCTCTACTTTTAAAGGGACTTGCAGGAAAAAAAAAAAAACAGCAATGGAGAAGGGTATGCATGTAAGAATGAACAGCTACCACTTTTTTTGTCTTTTTTTTTTTTTTTTTCCCTTTTTGTGCAGAAAGGGGTCTTGCTGGATTGCCCAGACAGGTCTCTAACTCCTGGATTCAAGGTATCCTCCCGCCTCTGCCTCCCTAAGTGTTGGGATTACAGGCGTGAGCCACCATCCCTGGCCTATACTGTTTTTTTGTTTTTGGGGGTTTTTTTTAATTATTTTTGCTACCACTTTTAAGAACAGTTTCTGGGGAGCCTAAGGCAAGCAGATTGTTTTAGACCAGGAGTTCCAAGCCAGCCTGGGTAACGTGGCAAAACCCCATCTCTACAAAAAATACAAAAATCAAGTGGATATGGTGGCATGTGCCTCTAGTAGTTTCAGCTACTGGGAAGGCTAAGGTGAAAAAATTGCTTGAGCCTGGGTTGCAGTGAGCTGAGATTTCGCCACTGCACTCCTGCCTGGGTGACAGAGTGAGACCCTGTCAAAGAAAAATAAATAAATAAATTCTGGAAGGGTAAAAGTCCAGAATAGGCCAAGTTCTGCAAACTTGGGAGAAAAAACTGATTTTAAAGTTAGATTTAAAGCAAAATGCACAAAAGGGGGATGGTTGTAGAATAGGAGAAATGAACAAACTTACTTATATGAACAATTATAGAGATCTTAGACAAAGTGGAGAGCCAAAACATGATGGAGGAATAGAGAAAAACAGATGGACAAAAAAGAGAAATGGTCAATTCTGGGAACTCAGTCCAGTGAACTTCACATTGACTCTGGAAAAATTCTGAAAATGAGTTATCAAACAGATGGTTAGTAAGCTCTTAGAGAAGCAACAGTCACTCAGAGTCAGAATAGGTACGACTGTCTCATGCTAAGCTGAACATATTTCCTTTTTGATGGGTCTGCAATAACCAATTCAGATTTAATATAGCTCTAATATTGTCCCTCTCAGTGTTTTCTCTTTCATCCTAACATTTCTCATAAACTGCAGATCATTTATTCTTTTTTTTTTTCTTTTGAGACGGAGTTTCACTCTTGTTGCCCAGGCTGGAGTGCAATGGTGCAATCTCTGTTCACTGCAACCTCCGCCTCCCAGGTTCAAGCGGTTCTCCTGCCTCAGCCTCCCAAGTAGCTGGGATTACAGGCATGTGCCACCACGGCCAGCTAATTTTGTATTTTTAGTAGAGATGGGGTTTCACCATGTTGGCCAGGATGGTCTCAATCTCTTGACCTTTGATCTGCCCGCCTCAGCCTCCCAAAGTGCTGGGATTACAGGCATGAGCCACGGTACCCGGCCCGTTTATTCTTTTATTAGACAAATATTTGAGCACCTACTAAGTGCCTGACACTGTGTAGGCACTGAGTATACATCAAGGAAAATCTAAGCAGAGTCTCTACACTCAAACAGTTTACTTTGGGGTGGGCAGTACTTTCCCAATTCTGGGATTTTTCCTAGCCATCTGCTCTCTCCCTGTCTTTTCTAAACCACATGTGGTTATCCTGAACTCACACAATCCTCAGAGTCTAGGGCTTCCCTGTCTGTCCTAACCTTTCTTTGTTTTCAACTTTACAGCAGGGAATAGACTGGGCTGCATCCTTCCTTGGCCAACAGGTACTGTCTTCTTTTGCAATATACCCAGACATGCTATCATTCAGGTTCCATGCAACATATATCAATTATCTAAATTTCAAATTTGGCTAACCTGCCTTTCCAGCCTCACCTTCCATTTCATCCCTTCAGTTGTTACCAGCCCCAATCCTAGCCCCCACCTACAGGTGTCCATGTCTGTGCCTTTTTGCTCAATGTATTTTCTCATTCAGGAAGGCCTGACATCTCCTTCTCCACCTACAGAAATCTTACGTATTTCCTAAGACCCAGCTCAAAAACGGCCTCCTCTGTGGATGGGCTTAATTACTTACTTTGCTCAATAAGTCCTGCCAAAGCCCCCATGCTTGACTTGTGCTGTACTATTGCCCTCTCATCTTCCCTTCTCAATTACTTGTTTAGAGCAAAGGTCTTCAGAGCTTCCACTCTGACCAGCTGTGGTACTTTACAATAGGGGCTGGTAAATTAAGATCTGAAATAAGAATAGTTAAAACGGTTGAAAAAAGATCAAAAGGGCCTGGCTCAGTGGCTCACACCTGTAATTCCAGCACCTTGGGAGGCTGAGGTGGGAGGATCACTTGAGCCCTGGATATCCAGGCTGCAGTGAGCCGAGATCATGCCACTGTACTCCACCTGAGTAGCAGAGCAAGACTACTCCTCTTTCTTTAACCCTCACCTTCCCTTCAAAACCTAACAAAGGCCATGTTTAAATCAATAGCAGAACATTTTATGACATGCGAAAATTATATGAAATTAAAATTTCAGTGTCCATAAATAAATCTTTATAGGAACAAAGTCCATATTTTCTATGACTGCTTTTGAGCTCCAGTGGCAGAGTTGAGTAGCTGAGAAAGAGATCTTATGGTCCACAAAGCCTAAATATTTACTATCTGGCCCAAAGAAAAACTTTGCTGAGCCTGCTATACAATAAGGGCTTGATGATTAAATAACTGGGTCGTACACCAAGATTCTGAACATATAGGCAGGTCCTCTTAAGTTTAGTGTCTTTGTGTAATGGAAGTAATAACTATTTTGCCTTTAAGTTGCCATAAACATCAAATGAGATAATGCACTTAGAAAAGTAAAAAAAAAAAAAAAAAAATCTTATAAACAAGACAACTTTGTCATGTATTGAAGGTGGTAGAATAAGAAACATTAAACGTTTTTATTCTCATTTCCCTTTCTTTCCTTTACAGCTTTCATTTAAACTTGAAATTTCAAGAGAAAATTCACTTTTGAAGTTTTTACTTTTCAAGTGATAATAGGGTCACAGGTTCTTTCCTTCCAGTCTTTCTGTGTTGCTCCCACTCCCTTTTCTTTCTCACATGTAATTTTTTTCCATTTTCTTTAAATAGTAACTCAACTGGGCTCACAATAGCTCAGGGAAGGAGAAACTGGGACATGCCTGATTAATCCATTTTACAGGCCAGGAAACTGAGGCAGATCCCAATTGCCTCTGAAGCTCTGACTCAGCAGCATGCAGGGAGCCCTGCCGCTCTCTGCGCCTTTTCTAAGCAAATAGAACAAAACTAACCTTGCCAGGTTTCCAAGCTTGGATCTCTAACACTCCTTCAACGTTCACCCCCGACGTTCCTCCTCTCAGCGCCCCCTCCCTCTCCTTGCCGCCCCCTCCTCGGGAGCAGGTGGTAGGCTCCGCTCCCGACGCGCATGCGCGCGGCACAGTGGGGCGGGGGCGGGGCCGGACTGGGGGTGGAGTGTGCGCGGGCTAGGTTTTGGGCCGCGGCGGGAGCTGGAGTCACCGCCACTCGAGTGCGCAGGCGCTTGGCGGTTACCGGTCTCACCATGGAGCGGAAAGGTGAGCAGTGGAGCGGCCTCCGCCACGAGGGGCAACGGCCGCCGGGGCGAGGCCCGGGTCAGCGCCCGGAGCTTCGCCTAATTGCCGCGGTTCGGTCCCCGGGCTTGCGGCGCCCCTCCACTGAGGTGGCGCCGCCCCACACCCCCCGCCTCTGGGCTGCGGGTCCGCGCCCCTCAGCCCGGGCGTCCCCCGGCGCCGGCCGTCGCCGCCCCTTGTTCCCTGCCAGGCCGGCTTGCGCCTTGGGGCCACTCCAGGGCCCGGATCTTGGCGGGCGAGGCAGACCTCCGCCCGCCCGCCCCCTGACCCGGCCTGAGACCCCTCCGGCGCATCCCGCCCGGGCGCTGCTCTGTGCCCCGTGGGCCGCCAGCCCCCCGGCCGGCCGCCTTGCCGGAGCCTCCGCCCTCGTACCACAGCCGCCCCTGAGTCAGGCCCCGCAGCCGGGCCTGGCGCCCCTACTGGGTCTCCACCCTCACCTTGGTCACCTCCTTTCCTCCACATTCGCCCTTCATCCATCCCTCTCTCCTGCAGTGCTTGCGCTCCAGGCCCGAAAGAAAAGGACCAAGGCCAAGAAGGACAAAGCCCAAAGGAAGTGAGTCTTGTACCCCGACATCCCATTCTTTGGATTTTCCTCCGGCACCTTCTCTGCTCTGGTTTCGCGTCTTGAATGTGCACAGGATTTGGGCATCCTGTGGCCGCAGCCACATGGCCTCGGGGCAGCTCGGAGGGTCGCTCTCCAGCAACCATGTGGAAGAGAGCTGCTGTTGCTGAACGCCAGGCCTGGGTCTTAGCAGCCCCAGGCCTGCTGGAAAGGGCTGTCGGAGGAGGACCAGAGCCCGCCCGGTACCTTTCCTCCCCAACTCCACAGAGGAGGCACAAACTCCCCTAGCTTGGACCCCCCCACCGGAGCTGGTAGATCATTATCGTTCTGTTTCTGAACTCTGGTCTCTCTCTCTTACCTGCTCCCCAACGTCTTAACTTGCCTCCAACGTCTGCACGGTAGGCCTTAAGGAAATTCTTGAATGAGTTTTTCCGTGTTTACTTTGGGTTCTACCAACCACACACTCCCTTTCATAGAGGAGGGCATGGGGCTTTTCTTTGGGTTAGTCAACTTCCTGAACCTGCAAGGCACATCGGCTTTTTGCACTGTGCCGGCAGACCGCTGTGTATACAGTCAGTATCTGTTAACTGCTTCTATTCTGTCTAAACCTCAATCAAATGCAGATAATCTTCCGGAGTGGGCATCACAGTAGTAACGGGAGAGTTCTTTAACACACATTGATGGTTCTGGTTTGGTGTATTAAGCGCCACATGTCCAGTTTTATCAGTGGGATGCATAACAGTAGTTTAGTGCTATCGTGGCAAGTTCAAAAGTTGGTCACAGCCTAATAGAAACTCAGGTAGCAGGCTTCATTCAGCAAGTGAGGCTAAGCCTAAAGAACTTTCATCATGTACTAACGTTTAACTGCAAAGGGTCTTGGAAATCAGCTCTTGGAAATCATCTCTCAGAGAGAGATTCTATGCCTAGTTCTTAATTTTAGATGTATTATCTTTATACTTTTAAATTTATTTGATGTTTTTTGGCGTTGTATGCGGTCTAATTCCCTCTGAGTTGATACAACACGTTTCAAAGGCCTTCCTAGGTCACCCCACTGAATGACAATACCAGATTTAGGGGGGCGTAGGGGTGTGTGTTGTTTTTGGAGGCTACCTACTGTTTGGGGAGAGCACTTAATGACTTCTTTCTTTCAATAGAACTAAAGTGGTAGGTGACCTCACCTCTTGCTCCATTTTCTATTCTGTCTTATGAAATGTATTTTGTAAGTGCTTGGTGACGAAGGTTTGTAAATGGTGAGTTTGTGTGTGTCTGTTTGCCTTTGGATTATCCGTATATGGGATTATTCAAAACCATTTTTTAATCCTAGATTGTTTAATAGAAATAGCAAGGTGCTAACTTGGTTCTAGTGTGCAGTAGGAATTGAAATGTTACTTTTCTGTGCCTAGTTGAGTTATTCTTTGTGGAATTGATAAGAATGTGTTAAAACGTTCTTTTCTATTGATACGAGGAAGTTGCAGTTTTTATTATATTACTGTATTTTTTAGAAATCCTGGTCTCTCAGACCATTTGTCCAGATCTCTCTTACCACTTGGAAATTAATTTGAGATTAGCCCAAATCAAGCTATAATTTGAGGGGCAAATGTATATAGGTGATCATATACTTTAAGCACCAGATATCTATTACTTCCGATTATCTATTTAGACTATATGCGTTATTTCTAAAGCCAAATATATGTATATCTGTTACCCCATTCACTACTATGGATAACTTAGAGTTATTTGTGTTGTTAATTGTTTGCAAGTGTGGATTGTAGATAACATAGCAGTCATTTTACTGAATATTTTATCTTGAACAACTTTGACTCCTGAAAATATGCGTGAATGAACTGCCTCATTTACTTGTAATTTCAGAGGTGTTTTATTTTTGGTTTTGTTTACAATTAATACGTTTTTGCGTTTTTTTGTTTTAAATTTACCTGTCTTTTTTTTCTTTTTCTTTTTGAGGCAAGTTCTCGCTCTGTTGCCCAGGCTGCAGTTTAGTGGTGCGATCTTGGCTCACTGCAACCTCCACCTCCTAGATTCAAGCAATTCTCTTGCCTCAGCCCCCCAAGTAGCTGGGACTATAGGCGTATGCCACTACGCCTGGTTAATTTTTGTATTTTTTGTAGAGATAGGGTTTTGCCATGTTGTCCAGGCTGGTCTCAAACTCCTGAGCTCAGGTAATCTGCCTGCCTTAGCCTCCCAATGTGCTGGGATTATAGGTGTGAGCCACTGCACCCTGCCCTTTTTTTTCCTTTTTCTTTCTTCCTTTTTGTTTTTCTTTCTTTCTTTCTTTGGTATCCCAGCCTCCTTTTAAGTAGCTGAAATGTCTAATTAAGTTGGTTAGAGTACTGTGTCAGAAGTTCAAGCCTCAACTAACTCAGATAACTTGACTCTGTTCCATGACTTCTGACTGCACTCCTGATGACTTCCATTTACTTTGCAAAGGCAAGCTGCTAGTTGCAGAAGGTGAGTCAGGAAGATTTGAGGAAGAAGCATGCCATAGAGTTTGGTCTTTGGAGATAGATGTGGTTTTGAATTCTGATTTTGCTACTGTTTAGCAATCTGACCTTAAGACAAGTTGATTAAGGAAACAGTCCTTTTTTTTTTTTGAGACGGAGTCTTGCTCTGTTGCCCAGGCTGGAGTACAGTGGCCGGATCTCAGCTCACTGCAAGCTCCGCCTCCTGGGTTTACACCATTCTCCTGCCTCGGCCTCCCAAGTAGCTGGGACTACAGGCGCCCGCCACCTCGCCCGGCTAGTTTTTTTTTGTATTTTTTAGTAGAGATGGGGTTTCACCAGGTTAGCCAGGATGGTCTTGATCTCCTGACCTCGTGATCCGCCCATCTCAGCCTCCCAAAGTGCTGGGATTACAGAAGGAAACAGTCTTATGTATAAAACTGACTGGCAGTTTAGTCATAATGAAAACTGATCAGGACCTAAAGGTATAAAAACTAAGCATTTAAATGAAAATTTTAGAAAGTTTTGGAAGTAATACTTTTGGAAGTAATACTTCGGCTTATTTACAGTAAATAGCATCCTTAGTAGTCTAAATAGTCTGACTAAATAGTCGTGTTGTGTCACAGGCAGAAGGGATTTTCAGTCCCCTGGTACTGTAGATCTTAAACCCAGGGTCTTGAAGCTGGTGACAGAAGAACCAAAACTTGGAATTCAGGGTCCCTTTCCAGCTCAGTGTTTGTTAGAGTGGATTTCCTTTGGGTTCTTTTTACTGTGCTGGAGTATTTGACTTTTGGGATTTTTAATTTTCTTTAGACAATTCCTTCTTAGTTTTACTTTTTCGGACACTATGCTTTTATTTACTAACATTAACTAGTTGGTGATGATCTCCGTTTTACTTTACAGATAAGAGAATTGAGGTTTGTCAGATTACTCTCCTAGAAAATTGCAAAGCTAGGATTTGAACCCAGGTCTGACATACCCAAAGCCCTGGTTACCAATCATGTGTTTCTAAGTGACAGACCTTTTGGTGTGTCTTACAACAGGTAAGGTAGAAGCTGAGTTGAAAGAGGCTTCTGAATGAGAGACCTCCGGATGCTTGGGGGTTTGGGTGCCCTTTCATGACCTACTGTCCTGTGTCTATGAAACAGCACAATCATCTATCTCCCTGTCAACATTTGTTTTCAGTGTTTATACCAGTAGCTGTGAGCCTTTGTTTGTCATAAGCTTTTATAATTTAACAGTCTATGTCTGTTTTTGTTTTGTTTTGGTTTTTGAGACAGGGTCTCTTGTCACCCAGGCTGGAGTGCAGTGGCGTATTCTCAGCTCACTGCAACCTCTGCCTCCCGGGCTCAAGCGATTATCCTGCCTCAGCCTCCCAAGTAGCTGAGATTACAGGCATCTGCCACCACGCCTAGCTAATTTTTGTATTTTTTGGGGTAGAGACAGAGTTTCACCATGTTGGCCAGGCTGATCTCAAACTCGACCTCGAGTGACCCACCTTGGCCTCTCATAGTGCTGATATTAGAGATGTGAGCCACCGTGGCTGACCTATATGTCTGCTTTTGAAGTTATTTCTATGGAATGTAATTCCAGAATGGATTTCATACTTACTGATTTCATTACTTTATTAGGAAGTTAGTTTGGACGGTTATTTTCACTTTATTTGCAGTTAAATAATTATGGATTTGGTATACATTTGGTAGTAAAATTAATTCAGCTCTAACACTGATTTGTGGAGTCAGTTGGGAGATATATTGAAAATTTACTTGAATTTGGCCACAAATTTAAAAAAAAAAAAAAAAACATTTGCAACAGAAAATACTTAAATATCTAACATTTTTATTCAGTAGGAAGTAGAGCCAGTAAATTTGAAACAATTTTAAAAAATGAAATGGTATTTGATGCTTTTTACACTTAGCAGTGCACCTTAGAAATTGGTTCTATATTCCTTATAGTGCAGCCTTACTATTTTTTTTAAGGTCTACCTTTTTCACTGAGTCTTAGAAATAGTTCCATATCAGGAGAGAAAGAGAACCTCATCTAGCATTCCGTTAAGTTGATATGCCATAATTAAATTTATTTATTTATTTATTTGAGGCAATCTTCGCTCTTGTCACCCAGGCTGGAGTGCAGTGGTGTGATCTCAGCTCACTACAACCTCTGCCTCCTGGGTTCAAGCGATTCTCCTGCCTTAGTTTCCCGAGTAGCTGGGATTACAGGTGTATACCACCGTGCCCAGCCAACCATAATTTAATTTTTATTAAACATATGTATATACTTTTTTTTTTTTTTTTTGAGACAGAGTCTCGCTCTATCACCCAGGCTGGAGTTCAGTGGCACAATCTCGGCTCACTGCAATCTCTGCCTCCTGAGTTCAAGTGATTCTCCTGCCTCAGCTTCCAGAGTAACTGGGACTACAGGCGTGTGCCACACACCCCACTAATTTTTTGTATTTTTAGTAGAGACAGGATTTCACCGTGTTAGCCAGAATGGTCTCCATCTCTTGACCTCATGATCCGCCCACCTCCATCTCCC